AAGAAGTAAAATGATTAGGGGGAAAAAAAAAAAAAAAAGATTATGAAGCAGATCTCGCCCTCTATCAATACAATGTCAGGTCCTCATAGTCGAAGATTTAAAAGCCCAGGGGATTCCAGGTTAGGGTAGTAATGAGCTTAATTGAGGTTAATGCTTCCTGCACAGCTCCTTGATTATTAAATTAATATTATCACACACATGAATCATAATTAGAAGTTTAAATAATGCTCCAGGGGAATCCTCGGAGGATCCATTAAAACTGTTCTCTTCTTTGTGGCCGATTCCCTGCGAGTTTCAGCCCCGCCGCAGGGGGCGAGGGCTGCGGGGCCGGGGCGGTGCAAGCGCGGAGCCCGGGGCCGGGGCTTGGGGGATCCCCGAGGGACCTCCCGGAGAGGCAGCCCCGAGCCTGGGTCCCTTGCAAGACGAAGCTGGCCCAATTCCTGGTCCCGTCCCTTAATCCGGGCGCTTATCTCCCTGGCCCCTGGAGTTTCTGTAAAATACTAATCAAGTGGCTTCTTGTCACTTATCTCGGGGAAAGAGCTCTTTTTCAGACACCTCCTGAAAGCTGATCGCGCTGGCTCAGGGGAGGTAATAAACTCCCCCCACCCACCCCAGTCCCGACCCCGTGGGAGAGGCACCGGGACCGGGACCGGGCAAGTGCACGGCGCGGCAGTGCGGGCACGTCGCCTGCGATGCCCCGGGCGGGGGTCCCCTGGCAGCTGCAGGACACACTCACCCGGGAGGCGGTTTACCTCGGCCATCAGCACTGGACACAGTCCAGATGCACGGGGGACTTTCTCCCGCGGGGCGGTGGGGGAGCCCAGCCTTGCAATCTCCATTCCGGCATCACTGCTTCCCCAGGGTCAAGAGCGGGGTAAAAACCAGCCTCTCTCTTCTTGCAAGCCCATTTCTAAAGACTTATTTCCTAAGCTTGCAAGAGGATCAGGGGAGAGAAGGGGTGCTAGAGAGGATGCTAGTCACCCCCCACCCCCCTCTCTTGCATGTGGGGAAAAAACAATCTAGTTTATTTATTTGCCCAGGAGCTGGGTGAGGATCTGCTCCTTTGAAGGCACCGGGCTTGGCCGCGGCCACGTGCTTTGGAGAAGGCTCCTGGGTGTAGGTATGGAGGTGGGAAGCTGAAGAGAAAAATTAAGGGGCTGAGAGGGAAGAAAGGGGAGGGGGGGAGAAATCAGCCTTAAAACAGCCCCACTGCTCTCCCCGACTCCAGAGAGAGTGCACAAAGGAGGAAAGGGAATAAATAAAAGAGAAATCAGATGGCTCGCACGCAAGCATCTCTCTCTCTCTTTCTCTCTATTTATTTTCCTCTCTGTTGCTGAAACATATTGAAGGGGGAGAAAAAGGAAACATTAAGATCAACTGTGAGCCCTGCCGACGGTTTAACGATTTCAAATGAGCTCTGACTCTGGTGAAAATCTGACAATTACCCATCAGGATGGCAGATGATGGTTAAAATTACCAGAAATCAATATTCTCACCGGGTGTCCCAGCCTGATAAGAGAGACCAAGACAATGTTGACTATTAAAGTCGACAGCTTGAGATATTACACTATTAGTTATGCTATTTTTAATAATCTATAATATTTGGGCTATAATTAATTAATTATACGGGTCAGATAATATCTGGGGCTGGAATGAGGTCTGAAGGGTCTATTAAGGTTGGTAATGAGAAAGGAGAAATCTAATCTAAGGACGAGGAGCCGTGAAGGAACAAATATACAACAGACTTCAGACAGAGAGGGAGAGAGAGAGGGAGAGGGAGAGGGAGAGCAGACCCACTGCACACACCTCTGCTGCTCTCATCTCTGGGCGAGAGGGTGTCCTCCTAAGAGCCTCTCCCCACTTCTTCTTAAATGGCTCTTTATTTCCACAAACGATGGATTTGAATGCATGTTACAGAACCCAGGAAGCCACTGTATGCAAAAAATGATTAAATCTGCATTAAGGGATTCAACACGACATCCAAATAAGCATCTGCAGTGTTTCCCTGGAAGCTGGCATGGTAGGAATCCACCACCATGGTAGGCAGTGGTGGAGGTCAGTCCCTCTGTCTGGGTGCTCCTAACCTCCTCCTCACAGGCTTGACTTTTCAAGTCCTACCTGACCCTAAACAGCCTTTGGGGTGATCCAAATCCCCCAATCATGTAGGTTTGCGAACATGCTGACATGTAGACATCAGCTGCATATGCACCCATTCTACAGTCATTCTACACCTAGTACCAACACACGCAATTATACATATGACACATGCACACACATAAACCAGATATAGTTATACCTATGCACCTATAAATAGATATAGACAAAGAGATTATAGATAAGTTGCATTTACATCTAGTTTGTATAGGTGTGTGCTATATATTTATTATTGACATGTATACAATTAGCGCACACGCATAAAACAGATATATATTTCTTGCACATATCCATCAACAATCCATACGGTGTTTCTGCTTGTGTTGCGCATGCTCCCACATACAATAGCTCTCTGCAAATGAATTTCAGGTCAGGCTACATGAATTATAAGCCGTCTCCTTGCTCAGCGTTACTAACCAATATTCTAGGTGTGACATACAGGACTATACCTATTTTACATCGATTATAAAAACACTCCTTGTGCAGCTATAATAATCCTTATTCTAGGGGTGTATTATTTATCACATTAGTTCCACCCTTATTAGTTGCAGGCTGAAGAAGGCGGATGTGTTGAACAACATCCCTGTCATACAAGATGATGAAGGAACCAAATTTTCCAGTTCTGCTCAGATTAGCCAGAGAACAGTTTTCCTTTTTATCTTTCTATTTGTCTTTCTATTTGTCTAATACTAAACAGCATTTCTTTGGCAATTGTTTTTGCTCAATTTTGATTTCAGCAGTCTAAAATAGGTCTAGCCAGACTTTCCCCAGCCTCTCCATGTCTCCTTGAAGCTGCAGAGGTGAACAGAAATGTCTTGAGATGGTTCATGTCCTCCTTTTCAGAGTGAATGTGGTGGGGTTTTAAGGGAAAACTGTTCCTTCATCTCTAAAGCCTTTATTGGTGCAGTCCCACAAGCCTTGGTCCACTCTCTTGTATTATTTAACATTAATACCAAACCATCAGGTGACATGGTGAGTCAATGTGGGCATAAGCAGCAGCACAATGTAGATCTTGCACAGCTCTATGCACTCACTAGATATAGCTCCCTCTCTTAGGTTTTTTGATGTCTAGCCAAAGACAGGACCTGCACCTTTAGTAGCTGGCTAAAGCTGACTTCAGGTGAAGCTGGAGTGAAGCTGATGGAAAGAAGGAAATGTTTCAAAGACCTTGACTCCTGTAACTTTCCTTAGAACAGAAAGGATTTACCTGCAGACTGGTCAGCTGGATCACACCTTTGGAGTCCTTTTGGTTTGCTCAGTACTTGCAAAGAGCCACCGAAGCACAAGCAAAGGAGGCTTCCATCAGTGACTGGCCAGAAGCTGGTACCTCATCTTGACAGAAACAGAGTTCTGCACAGTGAACTACATTGATCACTACAACTCTTATCTAGGAATGAAGCCACACACATTTATGAAGCTTCAGTTGGCATCAACTATACCAGCCCACCCGATTAATAAATAGGCCACCAGGAGGACATTACTGCTCAACTCTCCCCGTTGACTACCCGTTGCTTACAGGTTCCACCTTAAGGCCTCATCACTATATTCAAAGATTTCCATAGGACTGGTGCCAGCCACCTGATCCTTTTCTTTGCTTTTGGCTTCCTCTTCCTCTTTCACAACAGCGACAGTCTGGTGGAACAATGACACTGCTGACAAATAGGACGAAGTCCGCGATGGTGGGAGATGGCATTTTCACAGGTCCTGGAAAAGTGACTGGAGTGCAAGACAGAAATAGTCACGAAACTCATTAGTTGCAGAAAGAAAGGTATAATTCATTTCTTAAGTTAGCTTTCCTTCAATATTTCTTCATAAATTACTCCCCACTCCCCAAAAGCCTATAAATTGATCAAGTTAATCAATTGACTGAGTGTGAGATTGTTATTATTCCTGTTTATAAATACTGGGGAAATGATCAGATGTTCAAGGAGTCTTATGAATACCTAGGTAGAGGCCTCCTACTGAGCACCTACGTACAACGATAAAATAAGGACCCTTCTCATGTGCTAGTGTCCAGTTAGACTCAATTCATGCAGGGTGGAAAATCATCTCTTGTGTATGATGTGCACAAGGAGGACTAACATGGTGCACAGGCATAGCACAATAAAAAACAAGTCTTTTTTTTTCTCAGCAATTCTGGGAAATGTGAGGTTGAATTTGGCTTCAAATTTTTATAAAAGCCCAAGCCTAGTCCTTTGAAGAATATGTTTAACATCTTTCCCTCCCCCCTTATGACTAAGTTTCCTTTTAATAAATAATCGTGCTCCAAGGTTAGTGCCTAAAGCAAACTCTGCCATGGTGTTGATCCTTCCTGAACTGGTGAGTCAGCTTAGCAACCAGGAATTTCAGGTGCTCAGGGACTTCGTTTATTTTGTTTTGTAGGCACACTAACACCCCACTTCAGGCCTCTCACAGAAGCAACTTTGTAAGGCTACATTTTGATTTGGGTTGAAATAGTTTTGCAGACACACAAAATGGGAATGCAACTCATGGAAAGTGCTACTATGATTTTACTCTGATTAAACATGCTGCCTCCTTGTGCTCCACAAGTGGTAGGTACTAGGGTGCTCACATGTCTTATTTCTCTTTGCTGAGTAGGGCACTCACATGGGAAAGGGGAGACCACAGCTCCAGTTCCTGCTTGACTTGAAATGACTTTTCAATATAAAACACTTAATTATGTTCCAATGGCTAAATGTTATATTAACCAGCAGGGGCTGGAACCTAGGTATGTGAAATTTAGGCTGATCTCTACCACCTGGGCACAGCAGGCTAATGACCTCCAAGGCTGAGAACCAGGATAAATTACCCCTCATTGAGCTGCTCTTTGTGTTAGCTCTTCTAAAGCTAGCGTGCAGTGTAGACACACCTCTTAGGGCACCCACTGGAGGATGAATAGGCCAGTAGTATCTAATGCCTTCTGAAGTAAGTACCCTAACCCTTAAGGTATAGAGCTGTACTTATTCCTACATAGGCTGTCCTGTCCAATGAATATTTAAATATTTTATTGAAAGTGAAACAGCTTCACCAGGAACTCCCCCCACCCTATGTGAGTGCTCTAAATAACTGAGGCGCTGTATAAAATGAGGACCTTGCTGCTATGTCTTGTGGCAGGGCCTAATCAGGCAGGTAAGCTCAGAGACTGCTTATGGGGTCTGGTTGGGTAGGTGATAGAGGCAGAAGAATGCCTAATCTGTGGAGTCCCAGTGCTCCAGGTACCCAGCCATATAGCCCTAAGGCTTCCCAGAAATCTTACTGGTAAAAAATATGCACTTTAAGGCTTAAACAGCATCTCCATTTTGGACTTAAGGCACCTGGATCCCATTGTGGATCTAGCTCCTAGCAACTTGCTAGGGTCATACAGAAAAGTCTGTGTATGTGAGAACATGCTGTTGAAGCTGGGTCTCTGGAGTCCTTGGCCAGTCCTTCACTAGATCACCCTTTCTCCTTGCGCGTGTTGAGGTATTTCAGAAGTTGCACCCAGATCCATTAGAAGTAAAGCTTGTGGTGTGTGTTTTGTGGTTTTTATGCCATAGATTTCATTTTCTAAGTCAGTTAATGTGTGGAGCAAAGGGATGTACTATTGGCATTTGCTTGTTAAATGGAAGGCTAATAAAGTTGCTATCATTTCTTAGTTTTGGTGGGGTAGTTCAGTCACTGTTCCATGTCACTGCTTGCATTGTGATTCTAGTTCAGTTAGGGGTGTGTGGACTGCCAGGCTTTTCATTTTGGTAATAAAGGATGGTGCCAAAATCCTACTTCTATTAGCTTAATTGGCCACTACAATAAACCTGGTGAATTAAATAAAGACTGCCACATTCCTAATTTGCCCATATTGACGGAGTGCTCTGGGCAGGCCCTGTTAGCAATGTGCTGAGCTACAGCAAATACTTCCAGGCTATGTACATAGTCATGTCTTGGTTTCATGACCCTGAGGAACCTCTACCATCACCAGAACTTCTTTCTTCCCTAATGTGACTTGATTGAAATAATTTCAGTTACTCCGGGATGGAGTTGGTCTCGTAGGTAGGAAAAACTCATCAGTGTTAATGTACATTTTCTCAGACTGATTTGTGATCCTCAACACCTGTGGGTTTTTAAATATAGACATGGTGAAGACAGATGATCCTTTTGGGTCTAATTTAGAGACACAAAGAGAATTAAATCAAATTTAGAATTGGAGAAGAGAATTAAATCAAAGGGTTAACTCTAGAACTGGTATAAATCAGAATAGCTCCATTGGCTGACAGGTGCAACCTGCGATTTTGGTCTAAAATGTTGCTATTGGAAGGCCAAGACTTTTTTGCTTTTTTTAGAAACAAGGTGTTGTCTATGTGTGGAAACTTATTGGCATAATTAAACAGGTATAATTATATCACTATAGCTATAAATCCCCACATGGACATACTTCTCTAGATGGGAGGTTGTATCTAGATGTCACCAGAATGCAAACACTCTATAATACCTTATTCCACTACTGGGAGCTCTATAGGTTTATCTGTACTGCAGAGTAGTGTTCACATATTGTGACAGGACCCCAAGTCAGCTAAGGACAGCTGATTTTGGGGGGATAAAAAAAGACCAATTTTAATGGTTAGGGACAAAACACTACAGTGGAACTGGGGCAGACAGAGCATACAATATTTTTTTTCAAAACATCCTAACTCCTAACACTTCATTCTCAAGCCTGGTCAGCATTTACATCTCAGTCCACAGCTGGTTCCAGTTGCAGGCAGCTTCCTAGATCAAGCAGACTACTCTATAGTCTCTGGGTCTATAGAAGGCCGGAATCATTACTGTCTCAGTAGCAAACCTCTCCTCACCCCTGGAGGTCTTGGCTTCTTTGCTGGCCCTCAGGAGGATTGCCTTTGCCCTACATTTCCTGCCTTTTCAGCTTCAGACCCCAAGTGGCAGACTCCCCTGTCTCTGCTCTCTGGGCTTCAGTGGACTCCAGCAGGTTGCAGGCTGGCAGGCACACACACTCCCCAGCCTCCCTGCTTATTAGGGCTGTGCAAAGCTTTGGGTGCTGATTTGATTCGGAGGAGATTTGGCCCGATGCAGTGGCTGAGTCTCCAAATCCGAATCGAATCGGGGACCAATTAAAAGGTCTGAATCCATTCAAAGCTCTCCGAATCTTTGGAAAAGATTCGGAGAGCTTTGATGATTCGGGCAGTCCCCAGTGGCTGCAGCTGGACTCGGAGCTGGTAAATAGGGGCAGGGGAGGGAGGGCTGGGGGAGGGGACCATGGGGGGACGGGACCCCTGCCAGGCCCCATCCCCTGCCTGCTCCCCTAGCCTCCCCATCCCTGCCTGCTCCCCCAAAACCCCCATGGGTGCTATGCTTGTCCCAGCTCCCTGTGCTTTAAAAAAAAAGCCCCAACTCACCAGGAGCTGCTGGGTAGGGGGGTAAGGGGGAATGTCTGCTGCTACCCATTGACCCACACTATATGGGGGGCTCTGCCATGAGCCCCCTGACCCCTCTTTGCTCCCTCATCCCCCCCACGGCTGCCTCGCCTGCCCCAGCTCTGGCCCTTTTAAAGAAAAAAAAAAAGCCGAGGAAAAACCCTAGGACTCACCACTCCTGCAGCGGCCTTGGGGCTTCAAGGGGCTCATGCAGAGCTCCCCACATGGTGGGGACAACAGGGATCACCCCCTGCCAGGCAGGAATGGTGAGTCTGGGGGTTTTGGGGTTTTTTTTCTTAAAGGGCTGGAGCTGGATCACTGCCCCCCCAGCAGCACCCTGTGAGTTGGAGCTGTTTTTACCCAAGTGCCAGGAGCTGGGATGGGTGGGGCAACCATTACCGGGCTGGGAGAGGGGTGGAGGATGGGCCTGGGTGATTCGGAGATTCGGCAGCAGTTGTATTTCCAAATCAGATTCAGCCAAATAGATTCGGGACACTGAATTGAATCACTGTCCCCCAAATCCCCCCCAGCAGCACCCTGTGAGTTGGAGCTGTTTTTACCCAAGTGCCAGGAGCTGGGATGGGTGGGGCAACCATTACCGGGCTGGGAGAGGGGTGGAGGATGGGCCTGGGTGATTCGGAGATTCGGCAGCAGTTGTATTTCCAAATCAGATTCAGCCAAATAGATTCGGGACACTGAATTGAATCACTGTCCCCCAAATTGGCCGAATCCGAATCCAAAGCAAATACTACCCATTTCGCACAGGCCTACTGCTTTTATTGCCTCTTCTCATCTTCCAGAAAGAGCGGGTGTCCTCAGGAAATGATCCCTTCTGACAAAATCCAGAGGGCAGAGTGCCACGAGCCAGCCTACACCCAACCCCTCTGTAGTCCAACCAGGAACACTTTCCCCATTAGAAAAAGAAACCATCCAAAAAAACCTTTCAACGTGAACCATCAAAACAAACTGTACAAACACATACTTGTCCCAGAGACCCATGACAGGTAGCTGTAAATGAGCTAGAATGGGTACTAGAGATAATCTAGTCTTGGTAGCATGTGGTTCTGTCGGCTACTTTGTCTACACCAGGGGCCTTATTGCCTGGGGTCCTTAAATGTGCGGGATGTTTTGCAGTATTAAAGTTAGAGCACATTTGGGGCAGTTGCACGGTCATGTTTATGATGGGCGTATCTACATGTTGCTCGACACTCCTGTACAATGTGCTACATGGCCGTATGATATGCTACAGTGATGTAGCGATTGGTTGGGTCTACACATGATTGGCAACTACGTCGCAGTAGTGGCACGCTCCCACATTTTACCCTGCTGCTATGGTGATGAAGTGGTGAAATTTAATTGTGCGTGATGGCGTACAGGCAGTTACTACGCCATTCTTTAGTACTTACAAAAGGAAGTGCTAAAGCACAGTGCCATAGCAACGTTGCCGGATAGCGACATGTAGACTCACCCTACGGACCCTATATGCACAGTTTATGAGCTCAACCACTACAATGCTGGCAAGCAGGCCTCCTGTCATGCCACTGGGACATGGAAGCCTTGGCTTACTACTTTGTGGGACAATGTCTGCTGGATGGATGCAATCTGACTGGTTGTGAACTTTTCATTCACCACACTGTACCTTTAATGTACTTTTTCAAAGCTGCTTAGGAAACTTCTCAGTCAACACCTCCCCCGCTATCAGAGTTCTCTGCTCGTGCTCAGATGTGCCTAAATAAAAGCTTTAGATTGTGTGTTTCTGTGTGCTGGTCCCTTGAAAAGCTGTCCTGGGAGGTTGGATCATAGTCATGGAGATGGGAGGTGTCTAGCCCTCCCCTAGGTGCTGGCACATGGAATTCAATTGGCACTAATCAACAGCCATGGGCCAGGGTGGAGGTGGCTCATCAGATTACCCCAGTGCACTTGGGACATTTGGAAGGGGGCAGGCTGTGAGCTGCTATTGCTAGGTGGAGCTGTCTGGGCGTGGGGTAGGGCAGGTGCACCAGACTTCCACTGACTGCCATGAGATATCCCCTGAACCCCAGGTCACCCCACCAGTTACCCTTTCCCTCCAGAGTTTGCTGAAACTTAGCAGTCACTGGTAGTGGGTTGTCCACATCCACCTGCTCAATGAGGGTCTTGTCTGAGCTGTCCCTGTCTTGTTTATCTGCGGTCTAGGTGGGGAACAAGTCCACTAAGCAGGCATCCTTATGCTTTTCCATGACCTTTTTGGTAGCAGGTTGTTTTCCTCATTGTTGTCATACTGCAGTGGGCCCGTGGGTGTGCAGTGCACAGTGGGGCAAGAAGCAATGGCATGGTCTACTTTGAGGATCCTTGAGAGCTCCTTGTATCCCTGCCTCTGAAATACTGTGATTTCATACACTTGATTTTAGTGTGGATCAGTAGCCAATCCTGCCGGTGCCTCTGAGCTACCATCTGGGCCACAACGTGCTTTTAGACTGCCTGGTTTTGTCAGATGCCCTTCTCATTCTTGGTAGTAATGGGAAAAGTAAGGTTTGTGATAAGATTCAGCATCTCACTGTGACTCCAGTTCATGGTCCTCCTGCAGGGATCCAAGGAGGATATTCTCTGGTTCAGTCCAGGTCGTGAAGCTAGGTGTTCGCTATTCACACCAGACCACTCAAGTAAAGGTGGCAGGCCTTAGCAAACCTTCAGGCTTTTAATTAGTGACCAAAGTGATATGATGTGGACTGTGGTCACATATCTCTGGGTGGGAGGAGGTTTTGCCTTTGGGTTGATATCACCCTCCAGGACAGTAGAGTTTGGAAGGGTGGATAGACCAGCCCTTGGGGCAGGACTGGAGGGGCTGGGAACAGTGCGTCCTAGGATGCTGGAGTACCACAAATTGCTTATACTATCTCCATGGAGAACACAGACGGTAGTTGAACACGCTACTTAATACAATCTGGAGATACTCCTCACCCAAAGAGGTGTACCTTTGTTATGATATCGGTGCACTTAGCACATGTTTTACTGCTTGAAGGTGCGGACATTCACATTTTAAGTGCATTTAACATGTGCTAAGTGTCCTGTGGGACATGGCCCCGAAATGCAAGAGAGAGGTCTGAAGCAAAACGCCATGGCTTATTGTCCAGCTGCTTTGCTCCTTCCATAGCCATTTATGTCTGGGCAAAATTAATATAACGTGTTAATACAGCAGGCCCATAGCATTTTACAGCTTTCCACCCTGCACAAATGTAAAGGCCTGCGCAGGATGAAAGGCGATATGGAATCAAGTGTATGACCTCTACAAGGGGATCAAACCAAAGTTCCAGGTACAAATTCTTCTTAATTTGGGAGTTTGAAAAACAAATCCTAACTTCCTGAATTTTGGAAAGTTGGGATTCAGTCTGTTTTTGTTATTAATGCAGGTTGCAAATTTTGAGCTGAACCCAAGTAAAATATTGGAGACTAATGAGTTTCTTTAAGAAACGGACTTTTCAAATGATTTCTGTTGGAAGTATTTTTTTTAACTTAAGAACTATTTAATTTAAAACAATCTTCAGAGTAGCCATCAGGCAGGTTGCTGCAACAAATCCTTGTAGTGCATACCAGATTTTTGCAGGGAAGTATATTAGACAACTTTGATACACTATTACTGTAGAGGCAAATCTACAGAAAAAAATGCTTGTGAGCTAAGAAAATAGGGAAGACTACATGTGGAAGAAAATTATATTGTCTATGGGGTATAAAATCAGTAGTGACTGTTTTACCAAATTTGTATGCTAAATCTTCATTGGAATATTTGTGGGTTTTTGTATGTGGAAGGACTGAAGGCTCAGGCTTAGTTCTTAACGCACAAAGATAATTATTTTGTTTAAATATCACTTTATAGATGGTGTTCCTGTGTAGATGAAAATCTTATCTTTTCACTGAAATAGGACCTGTTTTCTACAGATCCACAATGGGATGGGGTATATTGGCATGAAGGCAACCGGGTATTAAAAATGTCTTTGATTTCATGGCTATGCAAAAGAATAAGTAATTTGGGACCAGGATTTGGGGCTATAGGTAGGAGGAGGTGCTGGAACTGATAGCCAAAATAATATGGAATCTAAGTGTGCTCCATTAGTTTCTACATGCAAGAGAAATGAGTTCTTAAATCAATATGAATTATTGTCCTTGGTAGCCAAGAATTGATGCCAAGATCCTGAGCTGTTTTAACCAGGAGTGGCAGCTAACACATTAATTGCAGTTAAGGAAATAAAAGGGAAAACAAAGCACTACCCCTCTAGGGATACAGATGAGGGAGGAGTTTGATTTTACCAAATCTTCGGGGTGAGAGGGCACACTTTGCTCAAATACACTTTGATTCATCAGGAAAATCACCCAAATATGAGCTGTTTATGGTGAAGAACCTCCAGTAACATCTTTATTTAGCCCTGTGCTTTTTTAATCATACATTTTTTTGCTCTTAATGAAACTTATATGGGATGATCACAAAGGGCTTCAGATACTGTTGCATATACTATAGCTAGAAGCCAAATCCTCACAACTGACTTTTGACATAGATCCTACCTTAGAAATGCCGTACCTGTGGTGACCTAGCAAGCTTATACCAGACTCAAAGATGACAATTAAAATTCCTGACTCCTGGTGTTGTCCACTATTATTTATGCTGAACGATTGGATAATGGATGAAGGCTGTAATCAGATGCACTGAAGGAATTCCAGTTTCTAAATGAACTTTGACTTGCCCTGTGACTAAACAGCATCTTCCCCAACCACAGTAATGAATGAGGATGAAATAATGCATATACTTGAAGCCCCTAAGTTTTCAACAACACAAAGTAGACAAAAAAGTAAAAAAGAAAACCCAACTTCCTCTCTGCTTATTCCTTGTCCTCAAAGTATTTGCACTATCATTCAGTGTTTTCCTTCATTCCAGTATTTGATTAAATCAGATTCAAAACTTCAGGGCAAGCTTCCTGTCTTTTTCCAGCACTGGCAAAGTTCCCTGAATATTTCTCAGGACCACAGAAATCATAAAGAGCAATATTAAAAATACTAAATGATCCAAGTAGCTCTCAATAAATCTTTCCCTTGGCTCTACATCTGTTGGCTGAAGAAGCAAATGTGGATATGGTAGAAAGGAACTTTATTCCATTAAAACTAATTCCTTTGGATTCCACTGAAGGTATAAATGGCAAAACTGCCCTTAGCAGCTCAGCCTTCATGTTGCCCTCATGCATTGCCTTCATGTATTACAAAGCAGTCTTTAAGGGTACTATCACACGCTAGTTTTTCCATAGAAGCTCCAAGCCATGTTACTGAATAACCCCATTAACTGACTAACCTTTCCTTCCTTGCTGTCTCCTTATGCTGTATTCCTATGGGGTGATATATGAATTTAGTCTGAACACTCTTTGGAGCAGGGCCTGTGGCTTTCTTTCTTTCTTTCTTTCTTTCTTTCTTTTAAGGGACTTGTTTTGGGCCCTCAGCAATAATATATTAATAATAATAAAGCAATCCTGTGCTGAGTGACCCTTATGTTCTTCCTGGCCTCGGTGACAACACGCAAGGCTCTAAATGATGCAGAACTTGATGGCACGTTTACAGGTCACTCCAATAATTGCCAAATAGTTTAAATACATTCAAATAGTTTTATCTGAGGAGATGGATGGGAGAACCAGTCCGACCGCAGCACCAGTGTTTTTATTGTCAAATGTTTCTTAAACTTAAATGCTAAGGAAGAACCACAGGGCTGGAAGGGGACGTCAAGGGTCATCTAAACCAACCCCCTGCACAGATGCAGGATTCCCAGTTCCTAAACCATGCCAGCCAGGGGTTTATCCAGCCTCGTCTTGAAAATCCCCAGTGAAGGAGATTCAGCAGCTTGCTCCATTGTCCTACTGCTTTTATAGCTTAGAAAGGCTTTCCTGAGATTGGAACTAAATCTGTTTTGCTCTAATTTAAACCCACTGCCTTTGGTCCTGCCCTTTGTGGGATAAGATATTCCTAATAGATATATGCACATACTAACCAGTCTAACGAGGAAAGCAACTTTCAAGAGCTTTGAAGTTGGTCTGATTCTAAGCCTGCAGACCCTGACAGCAGTCTTGACTTCAAGGGGTCTTGGATCAGCCCCAAAGACTGCTCCATTTCATTTTTTAAAGGGATCCATTGTTTTAAACCTGATGACACATGTATCTTTACCAGGCTGACCCAGTTATCTGCACAGATTCACTTTATACCTCCTTGGGTTGCCAAACACAATCCAATTGACTGATGTCGGGTCATTTTCTTTGCACAATCATTTGTCCAGGAGTCAATACTGAGGTTTTTTATGCTATTGACCAAGTAGCTATTGGATGAGGCAGGGTCACATGACCTTGTGACCCAAAATACTGTAGCAGAAGTCGTAACGATATGAAATCAATAGCTTTACTGAAACAAATATCGGTGGTGACGCTTTCTGCAGAAGGATTAAATGAAGAAGGCTGTTGAGGAGATGAGCTGATGACTAACTCACAGAAGAGCCCCGCCAGGGTTAATGGAAATATGCATTTGAATGAAGGCAACGGGATTTGGCTTGCAGTGCTCCCTCTAACTGAGCAATGCATGGCATAGGGCTGAAGAGGCTGGACAAGTCCTCTAGCCCAACCTTTGGAGGCTTCCTATAAGACAAACCCTTGTGAGACAGGGATATCTGGGAAGGGTGTGGACTATGGTGGATCTATAAAGAGTGTTTTTTCTCTTTCTTTAGATGAGTTGTGATCTAATTTTACAGGAGCTATTTGTGGCATGATTCCTTCCTGTTCTCCAGGTACCTGCCTCCCTTGGCTTCTGCTTGGGCTGCACTGCTGTTGGCTGTCAGTGACTTTTTCATTAGTTGCTGCAGAGGAGGATCCACAGGGAATTATTAGCTCTCAGCTGCATTAGGTGGTGCTGGATGACTTTCAAGGCCTTTGTCTGCAAAGGGTTGAGCAGCACCTATATCATCCATTGACTTCATGGGGAGTCGTGGGTGCTCAGTAACACGGAGTGTCAGCCCAGCGAACCCTGTCTCTGTGCAAATATATCTCTGTATTGAGCTTTAATATTTCACTTGGCATTGTCAGCTCGCCCTCAGGAGGATGGAGAAACAACAGTAAAACCACATGCTGTGCACAAGTACATGTTATATTTATGAATTAGTCTGTTACCCTTTCAAGTTTTATGGCCACATTAAATAATTAGCACAAGCTCATCATCATTATCCCATGCTGAGTGATTTTGGCTTTGCCACAGTTGGGTTTGGCTTTCCATTTCTGGCTGATCCTCTGGGTGAAAACCCCACCCTTTCAATGGATCCAAGCATTTTTCAAAGCAGAGAACATTGTCATCCTCACCATTTAAAATATAAAATCCTGCCATCGTTTACTGTAAAACCACGAGAACAAGAGTTTAATAAAATCAGTTATTTTACTTTCCCATAAATAACATTTTCGTTTGATTGTGAAGCAAAAGGGGGAAAAAAGAGTGAAGAAAAGCTCAATAAACAGCCATTTTATTACTGTTGCTAGAAATAAAATAAGGGTAAGGGAGACTGAGCCACTGTTTTATTGTAGCAGTGAATTCACTTCTTTCATTTAAGTGTCTGTCACATTAGTAGAAAAATACAAGCCACTCCAAAGTGTGTATACTGGCAATGACTATCCCCATTTTTCATTTTAAATAACTTTCAGCTACTCTTTTTTTTTTTTTCAGAATCATAGATGGCAGGATGGTGTGGAAAGGTGTGCAAAGAGAAAGCAACATCTTCCAGTTGGCTGTGGCTCAGAATTTGGTGCGACTACCTTGCTATCGCTTGGGTCAACTCACATTGCAATCCCTTTTTGATTTAATTGAAACTAGCAAAAAAGAATGGGCTTTAGTGCATGCACTTTATTTAATGCTGCCACATTGTGTAAAACTTAATAGCAAATGAAATGACTTCCAAATCACTTTTCACTATCGAATTTGTGTTCTGTGAACTGAGATGAACTAACTACACATTAACTTTGTTTGCATCAGTGTTTTTATATGTCAAACGTTTCTTTCTAAACTGCTATGCTGAGATGATGGATCATAAAGTATTCCTAATAGATACATGTATGTTTAACTGGCTTAATTAAGGACAGAGACAACTTTAAGATAGCTTTGTACAGTATTCTGTTCATGATAAATGCAACGCATATAAAAATACGAGCACACAGTCCTGTATTATCTATCTACCTATCTATCTGAAATTAGACTCACAGGTATGCCAGTGGTTAAAGTGATTCAAGAATTAAAACAGAATAGGACTTAATCACAAAATCCAGATCAGGACCCAGAGTTCCCTAAAGTATGATGTGTGCTTAGAAACAATGCTTCTTTATCCATCTCATTTAATCTAATCTGCAATGTCTGTTTGCATTTTAAATAATAAGCGGGAAGATTTTTCTCCTTTTTTCAGATAAAGTAGTACTGTACTTTAATTTATGAAAAGCCTGATATAGACCAATAGGAGCTACTACTTATTGCGAGTAAAGGCAACAGAATCTGAATCTTGGAAATTATATTAAACTGAGAAGCAACATTTATTATATTAATTTTGTCATTAGCAACAACATTCATGATGACACTTCAGAAAGGATGCATCTTGAGCAAGGATCTCTTTAAATGTACCATTCCCTTCACATGACATTTTATTGCACATTTTTGGATTTAAAATTTGGTTTAATTTATTTTGCATCCCTCTGAAGAACTCGCTTCTTCCATGAATGAGAAGTAGGAGTCAACAACATGGTTAACAACATTTGTCTCCTGTAGGCTTCTCAGTGGGCCCCTCTTTATTTTATTTGGATTTATAATAATACAACAAAGTGCCTCTCTGGGGTTCCAGATGCCTATAATTGAAATTCAAAACACAATTAAAAAAAAAAAAAAAGAGAGAGAGAGAGACCATACCCTAACCACCAGTCTCATCTTTCCCTTTGAAATCTATATATTTTTTGAAGATTCATAGATCTAAAAGCAAGAAGGAACCATTAGCTTAGCCAGTCTGACTTCTTATGTATGATAGTTCATTACCGTTTATCATGTTACCTTTAAATTAAGCCTAAAAATTTATGTTTGGCTAAACGATATGGGTCAGAAGGAATCCAGTCTTGATATGCAGACATTAAGAAACAGGAACATTAAGAAGCCCCTTTCCTTGGTAGCTTGTTCCAATATTAATGCTCCTCCCCATTTAACAAAAAAGTGTCTTATTTCTTATGTGAATTCCTAGCTTCAGTTTCCACAAAGGCTCTTGTTTCATTTCTTTCACCAGTAGATTCAAGAGGCCTTTTGTACCTGGTATTTTGTCTCTAATCTTCTTTACCAAATATATTTTAAACATATAAACTGTATTACCTGCATAAGCACTAAGCCTTGCTACCCATTTCCTCCCCACGCTCCCCAAGTCCCACAAAAATTAAGGGATTTTATAGTGTGCTTTGGAAGTCATCAGACAGAGCTATTTTGAAAAATGCCAAAGGTGATTTTGGCAAATGACAAAAGGGGGCTGGGGACCGTGACTTCTGAGGAGAGATTGAGGGAATTGGGCTTCTTTAGTCTGCGGAAGGGAAGACTGAGGGGGATTTGATAGCAATCCCACCCTTGCATCTGAAGGGCCGTTCCAAAGAGGATGGCGCTAGGCTGTTGTCAGCGGTGGCAGATGACAGAACAAGGAGCAACGGTCTCAAGTTGCAGCAAGGGAAGTGTAGGTTGGTTATTAGGAAAAAACTTTCTCACTAGGAGGGTGGTGAAACACTGGAACAGGTTATCTAGAGAGGTGGTGGAAGCTCCATCCTTGGAAGTTTCTCATAGATTTCATAGACATTTGGGCTGGAAGGGACCCCGGAGGATCATTGAGTCCAGCCCCCTGCCCAAAAGGCAGGAAGTCAGCTGGAATCACAGGATCCCAGCAAGATAAACATCCAAAAATGTCTTGAAGGCGTTCCAAGTGGGTGCTTGAACCACCTCCGATGGCAGGCTATTCCAGACCTTGGGGGCTTGGACAGTGAAGAAGCTTTTCCTTATGTCCAGCCTGAAAAGGTCTCAGAGGAGTTTGTGACCATTCGATCTTGTCATCCCCTGGGGCGCTCTGGTGAACAGACGTTCCCCCAGATCCTGGTGAACACCCGATAAATTTATAGGCAGCCACCAGGTCCCCCCTGAGCCTGCGCTTTTCTGGGCTGAAGAGTCCCATGGCTCTCAGCCTTTCATCATCAGGTCTGTTATCCTGACCTCTGATCATGCGCATGGCTCTTCTCTGCACTCTCTCAAGCTTCTCCACATCCTTTTTGAATTGTGGAGCCCAAAACTGGACACAGTACTCCAGCTGCAGCCTCACCAAGGTCGGGTACAAGGGGAGAATGACGTCCCGGGATTTGCTTGAGAAGCATCTATGGATGCAAGCCAGTGTTTTGGTCGCTTTACTAGCCGCAGCATCGCACTGCAGGCTCATGTTCATCTTGTGGTCAATGATGACCCCCAAGTACTTTCATCCGTAGTGCTAGCCAGTGTAGCACTGCTGAGCCTATAAGCATGTTTCAGGTTTTTCTTCCCAAGGTGGAGAACCTTGCATTTTTCAGTGTTAAACATTATCAGGTTCTTGTCCGCCCATTTCCTGAGTCTGTCCAGGTCAGCCTGGATCACCCTCCTGTGCTCACATGTGGATGCTTTACCTCAGAGTTTGGTATCGTCAGCGAACTTAGCCAGCCCACTGCTGACACCAGTCATTGATGAAGATGTTAAAAAGTAAAGGCCCAAGGACGGAGCCTTGAGGGACCCCACCGGTCACAGGGCACCATGACAATTGACTTCCATCAACCACCACCCTCTGGGTCCTGCTACGGAGCCAATTCCCCAGCCAGCGGATCATGGTGAGGTTGAGGCCGCAGTTAGCCAGTTTTGCCAAGAGGTGATCGTGGGAAACCAGATTGAACATTTTTTTGAGGTCAAGATATATGACATCAATCTCTTCCCTCTTGTCCAGGTGATAGGTTACCTGGTCATAAAAGGAAATGAAGTTGGTCAAGCACGACCTACCCGCAACAAACCCGTGCTGGCTATCCCTCAGGATATTGCCGTCATCTAGCCTGTATAGGATGGCCTCTTTGATAATCTTTTCCAAGTCCCTCCCCAGGATAGAGGTCAGGCCGATGGGCCTGTAGTTTGCCTGATCTACTTTCCTCCTTGCTTGAAGATAGGCACCACCTTGGCCTTCTTCCAATCGTCGGGCACTTCACCAGCGCGCCAGGAGTTCTCAAAGATCCATGCCAGGGGCTGAGCTACGATGCTTTTTTTAAGGCCCATCTCGACAGATCCCCAGCTGGGATGATCTAGTTGGGGATGGTCCTGCTTTGAGCAGGGGGTTAAAGGGGGTTCCCAACCTTTTTAGATCACAGACCGACAAACCATGGATCGAAAGTGACCGTGGACCGGCAAACTGAGGACCTGCAAACTGCAGTCTGGAAGTGACCAGCATACTGCAGAGCAGCAGCCAACCCTTTTTTACACTCAGTATAAACAAGGGTTGGCTGCTGCTCCACGGTATGCTGGTCACTTAGTTTCATAGTTTCTAGGGTCGGAAGGGACCTGAACAGATCAAGTCTGACCCCCTGCCCAGGGCAGGAATGAGTCCTGGGATCATAATACCCCAGCTAGATGTCTGTCCAACGTCCTCCTGAAGACCCCCAAGGTAGGGGAGAGCACCACCTCCCTTGGGAGCCCATTCCAGAGCCTGGCAGCCCTAACCATGAAGTAAGTCAACTCTCCTGAGGACTGGCAGCCAGCCCTTCTCAGCCCAGTACCGGGCCGTGGCCCGGGGGTTGGGAACCTCTGGACTAGATGATCTCATGAGGTCCCTTCCGACCCTATGACGGCCGGGGCCAGGGCATTTTCATTTTCTGCTGGCAGCCCCTTCTCTTTTAAAGTGAGAGGCCTGCTGAAGTGCCTCTATTGAAACCATATAACATGGGGAAGGGGAAGTTTCTCTGAGTCAGTGGGAGTTTTGCATGTGTAAGGACTCCAGGTTTGGGCCATAGGAAACAGCCCAAGTCACTGGAGTTCACTGGATGTATGCTTATTTGGATGGTGGGATATTACTTGTGTAACTCCACATGCACTGAGTTGACAACATATCCCTAAGGCTTTCACATAGTTATAACAATGTAATATGGGATCTGACATGGCACAAATAGATTTTTATGTAACAATATAGATCTTTCTATGACACCTCACATATACACTCACACAAAGCCTCTCCATCATGCAGATGCACACAGCATTATCCTTTTGCTCTTTTATGTCTTTGGGCCCCATCTTGTAACCTTTGTGCTCCTCTGTAAACCTCTGATGTCCCCGGGGGCTTTGGGAATGTAAGGACTTTGGGCTCAGGCTGCTGGTGGGAAAACCTTGTGGGAGCTACAGTCTGTAGAAAGCCTATCTGAATGAAATTATTTATAATGAGCATAGACAGCAAAGAAAGTCTTGTAGTAATCAGCATTGTCTGGACATGTGGAATGAATACATTACATTCCAATAAGTTTAAGAAGTCATAACGTTTCTGCAGCACGCAGTGCTTGCCAATGCGTGGTATTCACATTCTGTACCTCTTGCACTTAAATGTTTATACCTTAACAGATATATTCTCAAGATTGAGAGACCGCTTGATATAATAGCAGGTAATCTGTACTGGACCCAAGCATCAACTGATTACCAGGGTTGCTTGAATTACTGTATGCTATTACAGTATTTTAGGAACCTGTAATATCCACCATTACTTTCTCTTGTGAGAGTCCTTAGACTGACTTGCCATTGCCATTTTTCCCTCTTCGGCAAATAAATATTGCAGTGTATCCAATACAATCAGCAGAGTGTAACCAGAGTGTATGAGTTTTTAGCACAGATAATTAAAGCCCAATGTTCTCCACTGTAACAATTACAAGTACTTGAGAAAACAATGACAAGGTCATCCTGCGAATGAAGTCATCAATCAGGGAATGCGCTCCCTTAATAAAACAATAACCCAGTTGTTTAGACCCTGACGTACAACGGGAGAGACAACAACATTGGTTTCTCGGACATATGTTTTCTTAACAACATAAATGTGGAGCAATAGCAGATATTGTGTGTTTATCTAATTAAGACCAATTTTTCCTACCTACCCCAGGTTCCCGAGTCCTGTTACTAACTCTTTACTTCAGAATAATTATGGCCACTTAGGTTGTACGAGTGGCTTTTATTTTTCTGCCTGCAGCTGCCATGGCCGTGCGTTCTCTATAAAAAGCCTTTCAGCCAGACTGACTTCAGGCACAGTTGAGAGCAAGAAGCGTTGCAGAGGTTTCATGGTGGCAGGAGCCGGCCCGAGAGGTACTGCGCCCCAGAGCCCTACCTCTTCAGTGTCATTCCCTCTCTGCTTTCCTCCTTGCTCTGGGATAGGGTAGTACTTTTTCCTTGGTCACTAAGAGCATCAAATTGTGCTATATGCTATACTGGCTCAGCTGATCTAGCCAGGGAGTAGGTGGGGATAGCTAAGGCTCTTCCTGCCCCCTAGCCCTCCCATCTGTGCCATAGGAGGGGATTTATGTGGGGTGCCCACAGGGTTGAAGGGAGAGCTCTTAGTGCCTGGCATGGCACACCAACTCACCACCTAGTCCTTTGTAATTGACTGCTGATTGAAGTGCTACTCCACAGGCTGTCAGCAATCAGAAATAGCAGTGCTGGAATATTTTTCAAGTGATTGAAGTAATTAAGCAATTAATAAATGAGATTTACTGACTCTTTTTTCTGCAGGGCTGCTTTCATAATGAGCTAATCCACGGCAAAAGGAAGAAAACAAACAAGCACAGAGACAAAGACGAATTCCTGAACTTGCCAGAATTATTATTACCTGCAATTAGTTTTAGCTTGTAAATGGCAGGTAATGCAATCGTAGCATATTCTAAGCAATAGTTGTATTTGCAAAGCATCTTTCACCTGGGGATCTTAAAGTGCTTTATAAAACTAATAAGGGGACAGCTCTTCAGCAGTCATAAATAGGAGTGGCCCTGTCAGCTTCATTGGTACTCTGCCAAGTTGCATGTGTTGAGGACTTGGCCCTGGCAACATGACCCTAAAGTTTTAACGTGGGTAAAAACTCCTACACTGAAGTCACTAAGGCCCAGCTTCTCAATGGTATTGCCAACCGAGCTGCAGTATAACCATTATATTCAGTGAAATCAAAGGGAGTTAAGTGCTTAAATGGGAATTCGGTATCTAAGTACTTTTGAGCATCTGGGCTGGAGTGTTCTTCTTGTGCATGGACTTTTGGACGAAATCCTATTGGATAAAGCCTCACAGAACAGGTGTCATCAACCTCGTTTCACCTGTGATTACAGAGAGACTATCAGACTGTTGTGGCTTGGTTCCTAATCCTAAGGATTACAGATGCTGGACTTCTTCACAAAACACAACTCCTCTTCTCTTCAGGGTGTTCAACACTTAGTGAGCCAGGCGTGGAGTCAGGAATAGCATCCAGCTCTCCAGTCACCCAATTACATGCTCTGTTCACTTGTATGTATAGGGCCAAATCCTTTTGCACTTTTAAGTACCCAGCTGGTTCTTAGCTGTGTAAATACTTTTAATTTGGCACTTATACAGATTTTAAATTCTATACCCCCCCGTGCAGGATAGGATCACCCAGACATGTACAACACTAACTAGAGAAAACCAGAGGAGGGAGGGTCATCCCATGGCTTTGTGGGGTTTGGGTTATGCAGTGAGATGAACAGATCTTGTCATCATTAATTTATCAAGATCCTCCTTGGAAATCTAGGATACTCTTATTAAGCGAGTGGAATGGGCTGTGGGGGAGCCAGGCTTGTTGAGAGCTGTAGAGAGCCCCGAGAGCCAGCTAGTTTGGAGGTGCAGGAAACATCTGCACAAAGGGATCTGGTTTCCTTGCCTCTGTGTTTTGGACTATGAAATCCCAAATTGTTCCCATTCTGCTCGCAGTGCAATACCAAAGGAGGTTTACAAAGTGAAACTTGTAGTATTCATATGTTTTCCTGAGGAGGTTAAAAAAAAAGCAAGATCCAGGATTCTTATAGTATCACCACTGTCCAGCAAACAAAAAAGTACAGGGACACCAGGCTTGTGTGTTGTGCTGACCTGTGACAAAGTTCCCATTATAAAAGAACCAGGGGGGGAAATGCAAATATTGGACTATGTGAACATTCAAACTGACCCAGGATACATCTTTGAAAGAAAGACATTTCCATGGCCGTTTTAAGGAGAGGAGGGAAGGACCCAAGGTAGAGGGGCCAAAAAAGGGGGGGGGGGGAATTTCTTTATTTCAAAAGCAACCTCAGCTAAATTACCCCAGTATTTGAGAGTGGAGCAGCTGAGAAAAGTATGTGGTCAGACTGCAGGTGGGAAAGGGTCATCACAAAAAGACTTGTAGACAGATGGGCGGAAGGAGGCATGAATGACCAGCTGTATTTTTGGCATGTTTCTGAAAGGGTTAAGTCTCTTCTCATCTTAATGCCACATCATCTGTCCCAGCTGGTCCTAGACTCCTAGACAATGGGGGTTGGAAGGGACCTCAGGAGGTCACATGTAGTACACCCCCCTGCTCAGGGGGAGGATCTCCCATCCCACCTGTCTCCATCTAGAGCAATGATATCAAGTGGGCTGCCATCAGGTCCTTTGAGGATGCCACAAGTTCTGAGGAAATAAGAAGATAGATCCTGGCCCCTCTGCAAGGATGTCAGCATTGTAATAAATAAATTAGTTTTTGAAATGGGGTGCCTCTCAATTCACCAAAGTTATGGAGGTTGCCTGGAATTCAAAGTGGGTGGAGTGCCTTAATCCTAAAAACTTTGAGAGCCACTGGGGTAGTCTATGATGCAAATCTGCTCTGCCTTCTACCTCTTCATCTGGTCATATTGCAGGTGGGGCTGACGACGGTACCTGTGCTCTGAGAGTACCTGCTGGATTGGTTTCTTCCGGCAAGGTAGATGGAGCAGTGCTGAGCATGTGGATGGTGAAGGGGGTCAGGGTAAACTACCTACCTAACTGCATAGTACTGTGAGGATATAGGCAGTTCTGGCGTCTTTTGGTGCCTAGGAAACTTACCTGCAACATAGGCCCTCTCAGGGTATAGCTGGTTCCAGGAATAGGCTTCACCTAAGTGCAGGTTTTAAGGATCCAAAATTGGTTTGAGACCTCCTGGAGTTCATAGGAGGAACTTGGGCACCCAAGTTATTTTGTGGATCTGGTCACATATTGTTAGTTCATTCTCAGGCAGCACTTCGATTCAATGCTCCCATCCAGCCCATTTAAAAGGTAATTCCAAACCGCAACTTGTATCCAGATGCAGGCTTTTTCCAAATACAGGATATTTCCTCCTTTTGTAAAAGGTGCACGAATTTGGCTATATTCTTACAAAAAACAGAGCTTCACTTGATTGTATTACAAGACGCAGACCAAGGCAGAATTTCAACTTGCAAATATTATACAACTCAGTAGCATTTGCTTCAACTGAGCTAATGCTGAAGTTTTGGGGGTTTTTTTGTCCTTTGTCATAAGGTATGTTGTCATGCAAAATAAGTGATCTTTCCTACACATGAAATATGCAGTTACCCAGTCACTATAACAATACTAATTAAAAATGCATGATCATGTTAACATCTAATCAAGTTATGACATACTTTTAAAATGAATTGGAGAAACAACATTAAGTCCCCCAACAAAAATGTTGCAGGAGTTGGATAAAGCTACTTTGAAAAGGGCATGTATAGTTCAGTCTGTACTGTCAGGTTTCCTGACCTGCAGCAATGCAGTGAAGGGCCTTGTGCATCCCCTTGAAAGAATGGTTTACGTGGTGATCTATCCACAATGCAGCTAAGAGGAAAAGTTCTTGCTACAAAGCTGCATTAACACCTTCCTGTCAACAGGAAATATGCCTGTTTAGCCACCTCTATAAAACTGTCACTACAAGAGTGAAAGGTTTAGCTCAGAATTTCCAAAACTCCTTGGTCGCTGCATCTGCTCATATAAATGGTATCAATGTATGTAAGGTTTGTGCAAGTTAGCCTTGGATGGCCCCATACTGGCAAAGCATTTAAGCACTTGCTTAAATTGGTGGGATTGCTTACATGCTTCAAATTAAGCGTATGCTTTGCTGGTTAGTTTTTGAGTGGTGATAGGAACCTGTGTGCTTAGGGGTTTCTTCTCTTAACAGGGACGCGTGCACACTGTACAGCAAACTTTATACGACAGACCAAATTCCCTTTTTATTAACACTGCCATAACACCATTTCTGGATTTACTCTAGGTTGTATGTCAGAGTAAATGAAAGCAGAATTTGGCCCTGAGTGCATTCATTACACTGTTATACTGTGATCAGGATGTGATAGAAAATTATAATTTGCAAGGTTGTGTTTTCTGCACAGTTAGCTGGAAACCTAGCACTGCATTCGGTGGTCAAATCCTTGTGCGTGCTATATAATGGTATAACAGGGCACAGCTGAGGGTTTGCACTGAAGTATGCTTTCAGCTCTTTGATGTGCACATACAGGACAACAGAACTGTTGAACTGAAAGTTAGTGCATTAGGGCGGCTAGAGCATGATTGTCCAAATGATACCGAAGAAACCCACTGTAGATACACTGGTTTTAGCCAACTATTGCCTGGTGTCAAATCTCCATTCCTGAGCAAGCTCACAGGAAAGATTACTAAAGACTAACTGCAAGTTCATGTAATGGAATTTCATGTTGGAGAACCTGCACAATTTGGATTCCTTCCAAGGCATGGACCTGAATCTGCCTTATTGGCTCAGATAGATCATCTTCTCCCACTAAAGTGGACATCTGTCTTCATCTTCCAGGACCTCTTTGAAGCATTCAGTATTGCTGACCATGAAATACTGCTGTCTTACCTAAGAGAGGTGGCTGGACTAATGCACTGCAATGCTCTGAAAGTCCTTCCTGGAAGGATGCACACAATGGGTAGTGCTGGGAAACTGTGTCTTCACCTTCTGCAAAGTCCCTCAAAGATTGAATCTTTTTCCAGTCCTTGTCAACCTCTGCATACAACTAACTACAAGGTAAGCTACTCACATGACAGCATTAGGTGATGACACATGCTTTATGCATTCCTCTCTATTTTGTTGCTTGAAATATGTTTTTTATTCAGGGGAAAGTCCTACAGAGTTGGAATTTTGCCTGAAAAACTGAGTAAGACCCTCATAAGTTTAGATCGTGGTTCAGCATATCATTTGAGCATGGAATCTAGTACTTTGCTGAATAGGAATGGACTTAAAAGCTGTGCTTGGACTAAAGCATGTGTTTAAATGAACACATGAGCTGGAGCCTTGTAACTTAGATTGGGAGTTCATTAGGGCATGGACTTTGTATAAGTGTGCCATACTAAATACACTGCTGGCACTTAACAAATAATATATAATTTCCTTAAATTAAATGGTTGAGAGGTGGCTTTTTTTTGTTCTCATAATTTAAGGCATACAGTAAAAAGTCTGTTATTATACATGTGTCATCCACAGACTCTCTATTAGAGGTGAATATCAATATATTAATGGCTTTTCCTCCTTGTAATGTATAGCTAGTGTCTCCTGTTATCTGGGAAATTAGTGATCTTCTTTAGTACATGATTGTCAGTAATACTGACCTCTCTGTCATAATCCTTCCTTTATTCCCGATGCGTACGTCTTCTCTGTCGCAGAACAAACATGTGGCAAAATAGAGACAGATATAGCATTACACAATTCATAGTAAAAAAAAATGCTGCTATTATTGTGACAGAACAGATGTAATACAGAAAGGATTGCTTACAGATACACTGTAAGTTAATCACATCTT